AAACAGCGTCTTTGGAGAACGGGCATATTTGGCCGGTTTGTTTGTGATTTCCACAAGTTGGTTAGAGTGAATGTGAAACGTTTTTCCCGCAGGGGGAGACAGCGCTCGTTTTTATACAAAAAAGAAAAAAACAGATAATTCTCAAAAATTCATGTAACAAATGTGTTAGACACATATGGGTATAAAACCTCTGTGCCGTGTGCATACAAGAGCCTAAGAGAACCAATGCCAGCTGATATCAATCAGAAATTTTATACATAGACAGTGGAGGGGCCTGGTGGTCCGAACTGATCAGCAACCGTTGGCGGCCTTGAAAGGATCTTTGCTTGAAGGGTCGACATTCTTGACGACAAAGGAACGAGTGTTGGTACAAGTGACTTTGACATCGACAGTGTTGGCCAAAGGTGGACCTGAGTTATGAATCTCCCAGTAGTTGTAGTCCCTCTTGTAAGCCGGGAAAACTCGTTTGTCCGAGTTGATTTCAACACTTTGAACAGGAAATTTGGCATCGGCAACGAGCATCGAGAGGGAGTATTTAGAGGATCCTTCCTTGTTTTTGATCTTTGGTAGCGCGTCTTTCAATGGACATGCTACAACTTCCCTGGAGATGATGAAATAGAAAATGTTAGAATAAAACCACGAATGCGCAGTGATGTACAAAAGAGCGCCTACCAGCTGAATTTGCCTATGCCAGGTCTACCAGGTGCGCTGCCCATGAGGCGATCGTACATCGTGCCCGGCATGTCGAGGGCATTTGCGGGACACTGTGTCAAGTAGAAAATTGAGGATCATAACCAAGTGAAATGAGTCAGTCAACATTTGGGTGTTCCTTCCGGCTGTGCATGATTTTCTAAAAACTCACATCAGCGCAGTAAGTAGAAACTATAGCGAGGACAGGTGCCCTTTTCCCTTGGAGTGGAGTGACTTTGATACACGCGCCGCAATAGTCTCCGTTGCGGTTGAGATTGTTGGCCACTGCGACATATTCTAAGCCTGCTGGAGGGGCTCGTTGATAGGTTGACAAGAGGCAACTGTGGATTAACAGCGAGAGAAATTATTCAAGTTAGAAAGGGGTTCAAGAAGTCAGTCAATTGCTCGTGTTAAACCATACATAGAACAGGTATGAGCATGAGTTGAAGAAAATATTTGAAAGTGCTACGGACCTTCCCTCATAAGTCGCACCGTTCCAATAAGTTCCTTGCACTTGTGGGAACTTGGTACCAACTCTTGGAGGGCCTGCAGCAGCAGCGAATGAGCAGATGGACAATAAGCTCAGGGTGGTGAGTTGCAGTAACATGCTGGAGGTATTGGATTGGAATGCCCGAAAATTCTGGTTTTGTGAAGCCGTGCCGGACAGAAGATGCAGTGCCTGACTAGCTAGTGAAATGCCGAAAAAAAGAAAAAGAAGTCGAGTATGTACAACTATGAAAAAAAACCAACAAACTGGGTTGGAACCTCTGGGGCGAAAGAAGTAATAAAAGGTGAGTGAATCAACACTGGTGGAACGGTTTGTGATGTTTTGGGAGAATCGGTCTAGAGAAATGAAGGCAAGCTCGTCTATTTATACATCTCCATCAACTTTCTCTCTAGAGCCCATCGCGATGCAGCAAATGAAGCGGACGGGATGAAGCCCATGTGAGTAGTGAGTACATGCAACAGATTCACTACAGGCGTTATTGACAAAGAAGAGGACTTCGTATCAATCACGTCACCGGCGAGGGCGTTGTATGAGGCCACGCGCAACCCATTCCCGTCGCATTCAACAGCAAATGCGCGAAAAGAGAATGACAAGGATCGGGATCCTGCGGGAGTTACTAGGTTCCCCTTCAACGGGTTGCAGTTACAGGCGTAACTTCAGATCACCCTCAAGTACTCCGTCCGCATCCGCAAAGTACAAGTCGCCACGTCACAAACGCAACTTCAGTTACCCCATCTTTCCAGCTTCCCCACCGAGAAGATAATAGCCGTCGTAAGAAAAGAAGTTCTCCAAAAGGCGACCCTTTTGGCCTGTGAACGACGGACGTAGATGTAGCCCTTTGGCCGGGGATTAAAGAAACCCTAGCGGTAGGAGTCTGCTCTATTCGGCGACCTTCTACCCCTAGGAAAAGTGGCCCTGAAGTCAGGGAATGAAGGATCCATCACGGTAGAGGCTAGAGCCTACTTTCTTCTTGTTCCATGAGGGTTTGTGGCGACAAATCTTACACATCAACCCTTTCACCCGGTGTGATTTAAGCTTTTTCCATTGTTTCACATTGTGAATAGGGAGATGAGGGGTTTGCAATTATGTGACAGTGAGTGCTTCATGGTTTTCTCAACCGTTGCTGAATATCTGCGGGTATGACGGATCCGAATTCCTGAGGGAGTTCCTCGCTGACATGAAGGGCTCTCTTCACATTTTTACACACATGCTATCGTCACAATAAACATTTAGTTTTTGTGATTTTGGACAATTTGAGAAAAACTAGGAATGAGTTGTGATACGATTTTTCCGCTGAACATTTTGGGGTTTAAGCTACTTTGAAAAGCATTACCAGAAACTCATTCACGGTCTTATCCTGACTTAACTAATTCGGAGGATCTTCTTTTCAATCGCAAACTCATTCATTTTCTAGGGTTTTACGTTCTCAATGGGTCTCACCAAAACGTACATTTTTCCCATCTTCTTACCTACCACATCCTCTATTCCAATCAATTAGTTTTCAGTGTGAAATGTTGGTTATATTCCAAGTTTGACTTTCACTATCAACACTCCATACCCATGTTGTGAATGATTATGGAGGGATTTTTTGTTTTGTTTTATTCAGTAGTACGTAAAAAGTTTTTTTCCCCCAGAATCTTATTACTGTCAACAGATTGTTTTACTATGCAAATGGCTGCACATTTATTTGGCATTGAAGTACTGGACCGTAATCCTTTATAGAATTTCATGCCATAAGAAGAGAGACATAGGAAATCATGGATGGATGAAGATACTGAAACAGAAGGGAATAAAGGCTGCTTTCTATCCTGATCTGGATAAGGAGTGTGACAAATGAATGAAATCATAAAGAGCGATAAAGTGTCTATTACCATTTACTATAAATCTCCTTGATTTAGGGATTTTTCTGCGACACCCAGGCAAAATTTGTACCTACCATAATTAGCAACCTATACGGCTGTATTATGAGTAGCATCCGCTGCGTCGACTGGCTTGGCGTGATCAGCTTCGGCATCGATTGTTTTTACTTTGTTAGAGGAGCCGGGGAATTTGGTCTTCATTCTACTCCAGAAACCAGGGCCCTGTGCCTCGAACCTTTCCAGGACATGAGCAGCCAGCCGATCAGACTTACTGGATCCGTACACGACTTTTTCAGCCCGAGCTACTCTGAACGCGGTGTAGACTCTATCGATCGAGCGGAAGGGAGCGGCGATGAAATTCCAAACTTTGGCCATCATCCCTGGAGGTTTTTTGTCTAATGCTTTCGTTGCACTTTCTTCACCCTTAGTAGCTTCAGCCGCAGTGGGGACATGTTTGTTTTCCAAGCTACCGGAGTTCTTCGCAGCGGTTGTGTCTTCCAAGGCATCAGAGCTCTTTGCAGCCTTCGAATCTTCCACAGCGTGACTGTTCTCCAAGCCCTCGGAGTGCTTTGCAGCCATCGAACCTTC